CTCACTTCCAACGTCAAAACGTTTCCACAGGGGGACAAGAGGGTTCAGGGACGCGGACGGCGGAGAAGTGGGTGCGGGGGGTCAACCACCACTGTTGCCTTTTGATAGGAGGCGCAAGAGGGGCCAGAGTGCCTTTTTTGTTAAAGTACCCTGGGAACTGCCCATTTGTAATAATCAGGAAGACTCACATGAAATTACCTTATTTTATTAAATTATTTTATTAAGTTATTATTCACATAAAAAGAATTATCTTTCAAATGTCCTTTTACTCAAACTTGCCCCCCCCCCTCTCCTTGCCCTTTGGTCCTTCCGGCGTCCCTAAGAGTGTTTGTAGATGCACTTGCTGCTTTTTTTGTCCTGCATGCATGCCATAACGCACATAAATTCATCAACTTACCGGGAATCGGACATCATATGCCTTATTGTATTGGAGAGTCTTTATCAACGTACTAGAGAACTTTGCCAGTGGTAAATGCGGCATAAGCAAGATCACTAAATGGTAAATGCGATATCCAGTGGTCACGTTGATACGAGACCCTGACGCAAAGCTTGATGGCACCTCTGCCACCACAACAGGAATTTCGCCATGATATGTAACTCGTGGGTGAACACTAAAATGAAAAATAGATAGGCAAGGAGTAAGCTTAGTTTAATGCAACATATTTACATATATTCCAAGAGCAGAAGGTTTATGTGAGGTGCAGTTAAGCATATGGCGGGCGATGGAGGTAAGATACATGCGAGCATTATATCAAGGAAGTGTGGGAAAGAAAGAGCAGCAAAATTATACAAACAGAAAGCAAATAGTGTTGGAGAAGAACGAGCCCAACAATCCTTGCCAAACCTCGCCAAATAAACAATGTTGACTAGCAAATGTTTTTAATCATTTGATCACAGGAAAATGTTTGCACATCAAAAAACATGTTTACAAAGCATCTACTTGCGTTGGGTGAGAAATACTCAAAATTACGTTGGATGAGAGGGCTGTATGCAAAGTCTAGGGACGTTCAAGGGCTTTGGCTAGGATTGAAGAAGCTCCTATGAGATATCTGGACACATGAGATGTGACAAATGCCTGAGGCAGGAAATTGCTGTATGCAAAGAAAAACGACGAAGGAAGAATAATAGGCATTGTTAAACCAAAGGAAAGAGGAGGTAAGAAGAAAGAAAACAAAAAGAAAATGAAATGTGAAAAACAGTTTTCCAGTAATAACGTCTCATTCATTGCAGTTGTTATTTTGGAAAGTTGAAGATAGTGTAGAAAAAGTAACGATCGATGCAAGACTACAGGTAAGGTGGAGAGTGTCTTATTGTGATAGCGAATGTCTTTTTTCCAGGTTCAGGAGATCAAAGAACCCTGCTTGCTTAACTTTTATTAGGAAAACTTCACATCCACTAATGTGTTTGAATTGCATACGGTAGCCAGAATAATATGTAGGGTAAGTACGAAATAGAACGATGTTAAGATTCTAATATCACATTTGATAATCATTCTACAAAGAGAGATAGATAGTTATAAAACATAAATCGGGTAAAAGCTTTCACATACTGCAATTTGTCGGTATGACCCAGTACTAAGGCGTTAGTTGCCGAGAAGTTCGATACAATATGCCAGGCTGAATTGTAAAACGCAGACCAGGTCGCATTCAGATGTGCTCCTATGATTGCAATCTTCTTTGACATATGTAGTGGTGGCTCCATGTCAAACAAAGGCCTTGTAGTTGATTTGCTTTTCACAAGTTGACATATAACATGAGATGCAACGAGTGGAGATGAGGATGTCACTAATGTCGAGTTTGGCGAAGATGGGACTGCTGATGTCAGCAATGATGACGTTGACGATGCTGATGTGGGCTGCGCTGAGGAAAAAACTACTGATGCCACCAATGATGACGAGGATGATGCTGACGTGGGCTCTAATAAGGAGGAAACTTCTGATGTCTCCAGCGATGGCGAGGATGAAGCTGACTTGGGCTGTGATGAGGAGGAAACTACTGATGCCAACAATGATGATGCTGACGTGGGCTGTAAGGAGGAGGAACTTTCTGGTGTCTCCAACGATGACAAGGGTGATTCTGACATGGACTGTGATAAGGAGAAAACTACTGATGCCACCAATGATGACGAGGATGATGCTGACTTGGGCTGTGTTGAGGAGGAAACTACTGATGTCATCAATGATGATGCTGACATGGGCTGTAATGAGGAAGAAGTTTCTGATGTCTCCAACGATGGCGAGGATGATTCCGACACAAGCTCTAATGAGGAGAGAACTTCATATGTCATCTGTGATGACTTTGACGATGCTAAGGTAGGTGGTGCTGAGAAAGAAACTGTTGGTGCAACCAATGATGACGAGGATAATGCTGACGTGTGCTGTGATGAGGAGGAAACTACTGATTCCACCAATGATGACGAGGATGGTGCTGACGTGGGCTCTAATAAGGAGGAAACTTCTGATGTCTCCAACGATGACGAGGATGATGCTGACGTGGGATGTGATGAGGAGGAAGTTTCTGATGTCTCCAACGATGGCGAGGATGATTCCGACACAAGCTCTAATGAGGAGAGAACTTCATATGTCATCTGTGATGACTTTGACGATGCTAAGGTAGGTGGTACTGAGAAAGAAACTGTTGGTGCAACCAATGATGACGAGGATAATGCTGACGTGTGCTGTGATGAGGAGGAAACTACTGATGCCACCAATGATGACGAGGATGATTCTGACGTGGGCTCTAATAAGGAGGAAACTTCTGATGTCTCCAACGATGACGAGGATGATGCTGACGTGGGATGTGATGAGGAGGAAGTTTCTGATGTCTCCAACGATGGCGAGGATGATTCCGACACAAGCTCTAATGAGGAGAGAACTTCATATGTCATCTGTGATGACTTTGACGATGCTAAGGTAGGTGGTGCTGAGAAAGAAACTGTTGGTGCAACCAATGATGACGAGGATAATGCTGACGTGTGCTGTGATGAGGAGGAAACTACTGATGCCACCAATGATGACGAGGATGATTCTGACGTGGGCTCTAATAAAGAGGAAACTTCTGATGTCTCCAACGATGTCGAGGATGATGCTGACGTGGGATGTGATGAGGAGGAAGTTTCTGATGTC